AATCCTTACTTGGTTCTCAGTTGTCCATACTTATTATTGAATAGAAATGATAACTTTGAATGGATGTATCATTGCGTGGTAAATCTGGGTGTGTATTGTTGAAAATGGTTTATCTTCTTCTCCCTCATCCTCCTCTCTGATTTTCGTTAAAACGTTCACATGAAAGTGGTTTTCTTCATCTCTAGATCACTCTAATTGAATAACGTTTTAAGGGCAACACTTTGTAACTTAAATGGGCGTGATTGTGAGTGTGTGATCCTTGCATGTCACTGATTTGGTGATATTCTCATGATCGTTGATTGTTCTTGCCTTCTTAACTATAAAAATGATATCTTTGAAAGGATATGTTATTATTTTACGTAAATTATTTACTTTCTTCTCGGTTCTTATTGTCTGCCTCTTTTCTTACCCATTTTGTTGTGAAACCACTTATTTTTTTCTTCCATCCACTTGCTTCAAAAATGAAAATGTACTTATGAAAGAAAGAACTTATTTTTCTTTTGGTTTTCATTTGGCCGAGAGTCAAGGAACCCTTTTCTTGATCGTGCATGAATTATTTTACTATCTAACTATGAATTTCACTAATTTTTGGCTTAAAAATCTGATTGCATGTGGGGTTGAGCCTGCGGTTTTTTTCATGACTTTTTTTTTATGCTTACATGGAAAAACACACTTTTGATTTTGGCTTTCCATTGAAGCTATTGTAATTATTTCCATCTTCTCTCTTTTTCTTTCGCTTCTAGACTGTGTGTGTACGACTACCCCTTTTCTTGAGCGTGTTAGTTCTCTTGAGTGTGATATGATATTGTAGTTGTGATTTTCTTTGAGATTAAATGCGTGATCGCTATATGTGTTCTCTACTTACTGTGCAAATTTTAAATCGTTTCTATCGGCAGAATGGCTGTACTTTTTTTCCTTTTTAGAAATTCATGGTATTTTGTGCATATTTCTATGTATTAGTTGAAAAGGTGGGAATAATGTTTCTGTACTTTCATCCTCTAAACTAGTTGTTATTTTCTGCAAAAATTTCTATACTCCTTATATTCTAAAGCTGCTATTACTTTTCTACATAATTGTATATTGCTATTCTTTGAACTTACTACTACTTTCTACATTAAGTTATTATTCAACACTTTATAACATTCTATGTGCTGTACCCTATTACCTAACTTTCTTAGCACCAAATGACTTATTCTCTTATTTTTCAGCATTCTGTACACAAATAATTCTACCCTAAGAACATACCATTTAATACACGTTGTATGCCAGACTCTACACTTAAAAGAAACATTTTAGTATGCTATTGCATCCACCTATTTTCACATAAAAAGGGAGCAGTTTCTGCACTTAATTGCATCTAAATTCTGCATTTGCATCATGAAAAATGAATGTCTTTTTGGTATTTCTTGATGGATGTTCTTAGTTGGATTGAAAGAATGTAATTATTTGATCTACCCCTAAATTATTAAGTTAGTGTAATGATAGTTTGAGATCTGTACAAAATTGAGTTGAAGTTGCATGTTTAAAGTGTCACACTCAACTTGGTGAAATATGCAGAATATTATTAGCTCCTAAACCCCTGGTTGGATTGTAAATGCACACACAAGTATACATAGACATTTGACATTGCTTGAGTCACAATTTAGTTTTTGGAATGATTGGTTCCTTTTACTTGTGTATGATTTAATACTCAATGGAGATGTTGAAAGTGTTATGTTTTGCTAATTCATTCTATGTGTTATGGACTTGATCCTTGGATCTGTGACAAGGACTGAAAACATCAATATGAAATGAATGGTGGTTAATGTATTTGATTGTCGACAAAGAAGTGTGTGATAATTGACACCCACATGGGTGATTATGTGCTTGAATGTGATATCTTCCGTAAGAAAGAGGAAGTTGAACGACATGATGGTAATGATGAAATATGGAAGGCTAATTAATTAATTTGTTTGTACATGCATCATGACATGTTCTGAGGAAGTCGTCGAGGCTACAGTTTGGCACAACTGTGGAATGTGAGTGTTCAGGTTCAAAGAGAACCTTGGGGGTAGTGAAGGGGGGTTGCCCCAATGGCACGGAGTAGCTACCGTGACTGGGACACGTCGCCAGCAAACCTTCACTAATCCTGATGTGAGCAAGCATTACCAGGGTCGTGGTAGGTCCATTCCTGAGGAACGCTCTTGAAGCGTGAGTTGTCGACAATTATTTTTATGAAACTTGTGCTATAATGTGATGTGGAGTAAGGAATGGAGTCCTCTGACCGCCTCTGACGTTAAAAGAAAGAATTTGTGATGATGATGATGATGATGTTCCGAGTGATTGGGATCCCCACGCATTGCATCATGTACCTAAACAAAGAGTGAATTTCATAAGGAAATTGCATCATGCATCATCCAACATATGTTTGGCTATGTTAAAACTGTTTGATTTGTTGGATTGATTGGTACTAGGTGTTATGGATTGTTGTGACTTGACTTGTGCTATTTGTTACATGGACTCACCGTCTTGAATGTTTTGTGTCTTTTTTTGTTTGCTTGTCTGTTGTGTGTGTGTGTTTGTGAAGATGAGTTGAGACTAAGTCAAGGTGTGGACCCTAGTATCAAAGGAAGACATGTGGTTCTACAATCCAGCCTCGCGACAAGGTATCCTTCGCGTATTGGTGGCCTTGAGTACAACTCGTTGAATCCTCCAAGACGCATGGTTGAATTCTTCAGAGGGACGCACTTCCTCTTATTGTTCTGTACAATTATAGTGTTGGGACTACTCTTAGGCTCAAATAGAGTTAATAACCATTTTGAGTTATACCTTTGTTTTATAAATATAAACTGCTGTATAATTTTTTTTAAGAGGATTATTTGGTATTAAATTATTATTTATGTATTTACTTACGATGCTATTTATTTCAAACCATGGTTATGTTTGAGAAAAAGGGATTTCCAATGTATTTCGATACTGAAATTTTTTTGTACACATGTATATATATATGTCTTATGATTTATGACCAAGTATTACATATCAATACAGTAGATATATACTTTACATGTATGAATACTAAGATGTTTTCTTTAGTGTAAATGCGTTATGTACGATAATTCACTTATTCACCACGTATAGGTCGTCTAGCTAAGCATACATATATGCCACTTCACGTATCAAGGTGCGAGGCGCCCAAGTGGGCCATTGAGTCTGTATTAGGGACGTTACAATTTAATGGTTTTAAAAGCTCTCAAATTTAAAACAGAACCGCTCTCTTATCTTATTTCTGGCGTAGTGGGTTCCTGAAAAATCGCTCTTAGAAATATACTTATGAGAGCGATTCCAAAATAACTGCTCTCAAAAGTCGACTTTGCAGAGTGGTTAAAATGGAAACGCTTTCATATGTTTCACATTAAAAAGCGGTTAAGTATGAATCACTCTTTGTTCTATACCTTTGCATAGCAGTTCCATGTAGAACCGCTCTCTATTCTACCGCTCTGCAGGGTAACCGCTCTCTAAACTCTACTTTTGAGAATGGTTGGGGGCAGAATTGCTCTCCAAGTATAACATCTGAGAGTGGTTAAATAATTACTCTCTTAAATATAATACATTAGATAGCACACAAATTTAGAGTGCTATTAACCGCTTTCTAAGAAAAGGTGGAACCGCCTTCAAATCTCATTTTTGGTACAGTATCATATATTGAAACTTCACCAAAATGTCATGATGTTTTACTTTTTTGGCATTAATTAATATAACAATAGACTATATTACTAAATTACTAATGAATGCATTAAAATTAAACTTACTAATTCTTGACGTACATATATAATTAATAAATAATAAAGAGCATAAATAAGGAGACAATACATTTTCAAACTTACTTCATATTATTTAAAATCTACAAAAATACTAAATTGTATAGGCATCGCTATTATCCTTGACTTTACACATATAATAAGAAAAGAAATCTAAAAATATTGTTAGTTTGTCTACGTTAGCAAGCTTGTCCGTTATTTGGTCTAATTGTCATTTTTTACAAGAATGACATCTCTAACCTTTTTAAGAAAGAAAAAGGGTTAATAAGGTAACATTCTCAACTTAAATAGGGTTATAAGAAAATTATTGAATTAAAGTTATTTTTTATTTGTTTAATTTGGTTATTGTATGTATTACATTTTTATTTATATACAACTATCTTTTTTTCTAATTTCTCATAAAATAAGATTGAAAAGTAAATCCTCTTATTGGAGGTCTTTCTGCAGCTTCAGATTCTCTTTTATTAATATTCCACAACATCTTTTTCATAATTCACAGTTTGATTTTGTTTATTTTGACCTTGTCCTATATACATAATTATGTTAAAATTAATAATATATTTATTTATTAATCATACTGTATATTTAAATTAATAAGTATTGAATCGAAAAAATAATTTCTTTTAAATTAAATTTAAAAGCATCAGAGATACTTCCAACTATTGATAAAATAGACAGAGGAGAATAGCTAATTAAACAGTAGTTAAAGAAAATAAATTACACCACAACTATGATAAGACACGATAAAACAAATTACACCACAACTATGATAAGACACGATAGCTTATATAGATCAAACTTTGAACAATAAAACTTATGAAGCCAAACAGACCGAATGACAGCAAACAATGTAATAGTTTCAGAAGTTTTCTATTTTTCATGAACTTAGTTCTAAATGAGACTCAAAGTGGTCCTTGCAATTATAGAACTACTCAGCATGAACTCCTATCCAAGCTTGTGTTTTGGACCACACCATAGAGGGAAAATGTCATACGAGGAATAAATGTGATGTGGATTGGGTTTTATGCTCACATAGCAAAAAGGGCATAACTGCACATCAAATCCAACAATGACATTTCTTTCTGCAAGATATTTAGAAGGATAAGTATTTGCAGAATTAGTGTTCATAGACAAATACGTAATAGAGGCAAAGAAAGTGTCAGGGCTGTAATTTCGTAAAAATTTAAGAATATTTGGTTGATCTTATGATAGCCAAACCGGAGGAGGATTGAAGAAGGTTGAGCGTGGAAATAGTTGGCTGATGCTTTCATCTTCAAGATTAAATACACCAATATCATGACCACCATATGCATAATAGTCAAAGTGGTAACTCAAATTGTTGTCGGTGAAATATATACAATTCCTTGCATAATTCCCCTTTTCATCAGCGAAAGGCGGTTTCCAGGTAGATAAATTATATCCGAGTATTAAGACGTAACTTCCCAAATTAAACTTTCTGAACCACTGACCTGTACTTTGATCTAATTCAAATATATCAAATCCAGCAGTCTTGTAAAGATCTCTTAATTGCCGATTTCCATAGTCCACATATCTCAGAACCATTAATAGATGGCCGTCAGGATTCCGAACCAAATATTTAATTCTACTGCAAATAGTAATAGATGTTCGTGGTCGTTGCACATTCCAAATTCTTCCACCAGATACTGTTCTCATGTCAAACTCAAACTCATAAAGGTAACCGTATTCATCAATAGCATAAATCTTACTTTGATGAAATATGACATCTCGGATGCCAGATTCTAGCCCTCTATATGCATCTATAAATGAAAGATTTGTCCATTTATCATCACCAAACCTATAAAAAGCCAATTCAGGATACCACCCATAGATAGCCACAGCCATGAACTTCTCTTTGTCTTGGTCGTCAGGGGGAGAAGAGAGAACAACCTTTTCAATGAACATGTTTTGCATATGAATGCTGTCAATGATAACAATAAAGGGGGGTTCATCTGAATCTTCCTTATCTACAGTTGAGTTTTTTACAGTGTATTCCTTGCCATGCTCATCAGGCTGATAACTGAGCACATTTGGAAAAGTTGACAATGGTGGAAGACCAAAGGAAGAACCGGTTAATGGATTCAACATTCGCAATTTTCCACCGGTTTCAACCACGATCAACCATCCGAAGGAAGATCCGCGTATCTTTGTGTTCTTCAACTCGGGCAATCTCAAGTGATGGTCATAAACTTCCTCGTCGAACGGCAGCACTAGCCATGGACCTCTCAGTGCTACGTTGGTTGGGATCTTAGGCAAAGCTTTGTTCCATGATTTGTTGACAGCACGAAGCCTAACATAGTCATCGTAGGAAGAAATATGTTTAGCTATCTCATCAAGCAAATCTGGATGAAGCTCTCCCCAGTATTGTCCAGGCTTCTCTTTACGAAAGGCCATGATAAAGCAAAAAGACCAGATTCCAAAACCAGTGAATCGAATCCAAAAACAGTGATTAGTTTGAGCGATGCCAAGCGGCCAAAAACAAGGCAACATGCAAGAATATTTAAGCAATGAAAAAAGTTATCCAACTCCTATAATCAAATCCCGTTGTTTTCGGTGAAAACTAACTGATACAGTGAGAATATCAAGCAACCAGTGAGAAAATTTCTCCCCACCTAAACAAAAAAATCCTAAAATAAAGATGAGATAAAACACAATTATCCATAGTATTTATCCTACTTGTTTTAGTTTTTTCTATTTTATTTTTTCTGGCGGTTAGTTCGATTCAACAAAATATACGGTCAACACAATAAAATTGGGAAGGATTTTCTTATCTTAAAAGTTTAAAAAATTTTATATTTAATTTGAATCTTTTATTTAACTTATATTTAATAAGTTATTTATTTTTAAAATAAATAAAATACTTAAATTAAGTATAAAAATTTATAAACTTACATTAATATAAATATATTTTATCCCATTATAATTACATAGTATTAAAGTAAAAAAAAAAAGAAGTAATAATTGAGTTCAAAGCTTAACGGTGTATTATTTTCTTTCTCAATACTTAATAAATTTGAATCTCTCCTCTTCCAAAAATTCTTTAAAAGTAATTCATAATATAAATATCTTTGATTAAAATAAAAAAAATTACACAGAGCTATATAAAAAAAATCACTTTTATAAAAAAAGATATTTCGTAGGATTATAATATAGATGGATGAGTATCCATTTACATTCCGTGTGTTTTGGTATACAGTATCTCGTAATAACTTTTATAGCTATAATAAAGTTTTATTAATTTGACCATTGAATTCAAAGTTCATAACAAATTTTATAAAATATAAAAATATTTAGTACTTCGTCATGTCACTTTGTTTTGACAGATAATAAGTTATTAAAAATACAAATGAATGTAAATCATTAGAATATATACCTATTGTTGTTCAATTTTTCTAAAATTTGCCATACTTGTTTGTTAATGTAATATTCCATAATTCAAGGTCTAATCAATTAAATTTAATTTTTATGAAAAATTATTGAGAGATATAGGTATATTGGACTTACACTTGGATATAAGTGGATCCCCATATATATATATATATATATATATATATATATATATATATATATATATTTAAATTTATGATATCTAATCAACTCGTTAATTGATATTTGATAATTATGATTTTGAAATATTAAATTGAAATGTACGTTTGGTGGATAATTAAATTGAAAAGTAACATGTAATTTTATAGCATAAAATCTAATCATCGTAATTTAGTTTTAATAATAATATTTTTTTGGTATCTGCCAAAAAGTAATATTTTTTTTGTTATATTTTTAAGAATAATATTTATTAAAATGGAAATTTTAAATTGCCATGTGATTGCGGTAGATAAAATGAAGGCTGTTTTGTGATTTTATAACACTACTTATAAATTGCAATTGTGATGTTGTTTCGGTGTATATATATAATAAGATCAAATTAAAATAGGATAATATTTATATAATAGATCAAATTATTACTGTTCAAACTAAATCAAATCAAAATAACATATAAGTTATGTAATTGATTAAAATATTATTGCTCAAACTAAACCAAATCAAAATAAGAGTAAAACTTAATAAAATCAAAATTAGACCAAATTTTTGGGATACAGCAAAATTAAATTAATAATTTGAATGAAAATTATATCTAAACTATGTAATACGGCCAAATTAATAAGGTCAAATCAAAATAATATCAAATTCAAAGTAATCTGGATTGAATTAGAGTATGTTATTTGGTTTGCAGCTTGTAAGTTTGTAATACATAAAAACATTAAAGTAATCTAGATTGAATTAGACTTTAAAGAAGTCCTGCAGTTAGTATTGAGAGTATTCAAAGTTGTAACCATCCTTCCTTCCATTTGATTCATGTTATTAGAAATATTTTAAAAGGCATCATTTTTATGAGGTTTAGGAATATGTTGAGAGAGGGAAATAGGTGTGCAACATGTTGGCTAAATTAGGTATAAATTATGTTGATACAACCTCATACTTTGACAAGGACCCCCTCCCCTGGTTCCTTCTCTTGGCTTAGATTCTTTAGGAATCTAAAACCTTATATTGTGTAGATAGTTTTTTTGTTTGGTACTTATTTAATAGAAAAAAAATATATCAAATTTATGTAATAGATTAAATTTTCATTGTTTAAACTTAATCATATTAAAAAATTATAAAAATTGGTTTAGATATATTGATTTTTAAATGTATAAAAAAAGTTAAATGAAAATATATTTATAATTGAGGGAGTAGATATAATTGCAGAATTAGGTCTCCTTATCCCTAAGAAATCCCTAAACTCTGGTTGCCAATTCAGATCGGAGCAAACAATCCAATTCCCATTGGTAAAGATTCCTCTTGATTAATCAAATGAATTTCCATTCAGAGATTGCATGAAAAGCAGAATTAACAACTCAATTAATCCAAGAACTTAAAGTTCAGAAGATAAAGTCGAATCAATACATCAATTCGAGTTCCATAAACCCCTAACTATGGGAAATTAAGCACACATTGCAACAAAAACAGAGAAAGAAGAAGAAGAAGATGAAGAAGAATGCAAAGCAGCCATGGCCACGAGCTCCAATCCGATCCCTCTTTTTGGAGCTTCAAGCTTCGACCCCAATCTTCTCTCCACTCTCTCTCAACGAGACTCTAACTAACAAAACAGAAAATGAGCAAAAAGATCTCAGTTTTCGCGCTTCAATCATGTATATATAGAAACCCCAGTTCTGCGCGTTGTCACTTTTCTTCACAAGAGTAACCACGCAGAAGCTTTATGTAGTGCGCGTGTTCACTTTCAAGAGCAAGAGTAACCACGCGCAACTTGCAGAGTTGAAGGCTTCTCTGGAACATTCACTTTTATTCATAATAGTGGCAACGCAGGAGGTTAAGGGCTGCGCGTGATCACTTTCGTGAGTAATAGTAACCACGCGCAAGCTGTCCTGATACAAGTGCCTCTGGAACGCTCACTTTCGTTGGCGAAAGTGACAACGCGCAGCTCATCAGGAATAAAGTCTCTCTGGAACGTTCACTTTCGTTGGCGAAAGTGATAACGCACACTGGCAACGCTCACTCTTGTAAATAAAAGTGATTACGCACAGGCTCCTCTTCTCATTTAGGCTCTGGAATGATCACTTTCACTAACAATAGTGATCACGCCCAGGCTGCAACCCATAATTCTTGTATTTTGGAGTCCAACATTGCCATTCTTCCTCTTCCTTCCCATTGATTCTCCATTTCCATGACTTTTGCTCAGATTATTCCTTCAAAACAAGATAAATTCCTTAAGAACTAAGCATAAATTCTACAAATGCGAAAATAACTACAAATTGAAATAAAACTTTCAATCATTCTCTTTTTCTGAGTTTTTATGCTTTTTTCATATATTTTCCTTATTAAATGAGCTAGAATTATGCTAAAATATTAGTAAAAATATGGATTCATCACCACCCCAAACTTGAATTTTTGCTTGTCCTCAAGCAAATCAAACTAAACCAAGGGTAAGTTCCTCCATTTTCAAATTCAGTTCATAAACTGCTTTTCTCAGATTTTCCAATTTCCAATTCTGTGTTTTCTGCAAAATTTTCAATGAAGTTGTTCCTCCAAATACTTATCATGATATTCCTACTGCATAATCATCATTGAGTAAGAATTGCTACCTAAGTTCATATTTTTCATCAAAATTCATGTGAGTACAATTAATCATAATGATCACAGCTCACTTGGAAGTGTTTCTCTCATCACTCAACAGTGTTTAGGTGCTGTTTTCACTCTAAATCATCAATTTCACTGCACTCTACCATATGCTTGCCCAATTTCTCCATCTCCTCTGCTTAGTACAATTAATCACACATCTAGAGGACTTTTTCAGGTTATAACAAGGCTAAGGTTAAGGTAGGTATCAAAGAAAATGGAAAACAATACATGCAATTTCAAAAGATCAGAGGCATTTTGAGTGATTTGTTTTAAAACTAGCCTGGATCTACATTATTCCTCCTTACTTCTCTCACTTATGCAGCAAACAAATTTTTTCTTGCAGCAGAATTTTCACTGATACTTTTCTTCTTTTCTTGCTTTCAGTCACTATCTTCTTTTCTGCAGCACTTTGCTGCACTTCTTTTCTTTTGAACTCACATTTTTGTTCTTTTCACAGCTTTGCTTCATAAATTTTTCATTTTACTGCAGCACTTTTGTTCTTTCTTTCTGGCTTGTTGAACTCAAACTTAGATAGCATGCTATTTCCCACCCCCAAACTTAGAACATTGCTTGTCCTCAAGCAATTAAAATCTGGATACCACCCCAAACTTAGTTTTAAAACTCATTCTTGATTAAACTCATTATGCCTTTGATCTTTTGAATGGTAAAAATTGGTTTTTCAGCAAGGCTTATAATGAGGTAATTTCAAGAAAAAGGATATTAAGCTCAAAAGGGTGAACTAAGACATTCAATCATAAAGGAAGGCCTTTAGGCTGACTAGGTATAATCAAACATGGCCTCTATCATGTGGGTGAAAACTGTAGCATGCATATTCAATTAAGAACAAGGGCAAGTTCTAGAGAATACAGCCAAATATGATTAATCACACAAGAAAAAAATTAGATAGCTCAAATCTCACTAGGTATTTATAAGTGATCATGTGGATGAATGAAAACACAATGCACTTTTCAGAAATTTATGCGCCTAGTGACAACTGCCTCATTTTTGAAAATACAAGTGTGATCTTATTTTGAGAATGGGAAAAACAACTTAAAAAGAAATTCACACAGAATTCACAAAATTGTCAATCATTTTTATTTGATTAACAGCCAGCAATTTATTATCTATTCTAGTATTTTTGGTGTTTTTCAGGAATAATTCAGTGTAATTGTGAAGCTAACTCATGAATAAGAGATAGAGAATGAAACCCCCCT